TTCTTAACTTCTTTTTGCTCAAGGCTAGTGCTCTACCACTTTAGGCTTTTTCTGAGTAGTTTATTGGAGATAAGAGTCTTACAGAGTTTCCTGCCTGGGCTGGCTTTGAACCGAAGTCCTCAGATCTCAGCCTCTTGAGTAGCTAGAATCACAGATGTGAACCATAGTGCCCAGCTTTCTGGACAAATTTAAAGAGATAATGGAGGACAGCCGTGGTCATTCTGAGGAGGTGCTCACTCAAGATCCCAGCTCTGCATCTGCATATTGGGTGGGCCTCTTGCAACCAGATCACGCGACACTCCTCACCACCTGGAGGAGAAGACAGTTCTACTTTCCAGCTTTGCTCATCCTCCTCTTTATACACTGGTTTTCAGTTGCATTTCTTATACTAAAAGGATGCTTGTGCTTGCCTTATCATTCATCCAGCTTTGAAGTGCTTGAGGCCAAGAACTTTGGCTTATCTCTGCATCTCACATATTACCTGTTCCAGAACTTAGTGCAAAGTTAGGATTTAAAAAAAGATAGTAAGCTAATTGTCAGTAGCTCATACTTGTAATCCTGAGTATTCAGGAGCCTGAGATCTGAGGATCATGGTTCAAAGTCAGCCTGGGCAGGAAAGTCCATGAGACTCTTGTCTCCAATTAACCATCAGTAAACATCAGAAGAGAAGATTTTGCTCAAGTGGTAGACTGCCAGTCTTTATTGGCAAAGCCAAGTGAGAGTATGAGGCCCTAAATCAAGCCCTGATACCAGCACATGCGCACACACACACACACACAGAATTGTAGACTGATAATGTGGCTGACAGATGTTGGAACGCTGTTTGGTAGCTATGAGACATTGTGTCTAGAGCAGGAAGGACAGTATTTGAGTTCCCCACTTCTCTAGTCAAGCAGAGCTCAAATTGGATGTCTCCAGATTCTAAAGCCCCCATGCCCGGTGCTCTTGGACAGCAGAAGAAATGTCCTTCCCTGCTCCTCTGGCAGTCTTTTTATGGGTGCACATATTTGGTTTTCATTTTTTAAAAGTAGGTAAATGACACATTATCCATATTGTCCATAGGAAAATTGTCAAGAACAAGTAAGCCTTGTGGTGGACAGTCGTAACCCAGTCACCCATCAAGACTCATGGGAACCTGTGACCCTCCATCTTGACTTTTTTTTTCTTGGAATAGCAGTATAGCTTTCTTGGGATAAAAATGGTTAGTTGTCCTGTTATTGAAAGAAGTGATTCTCAAGCCAATGTCATTGTGTGCCTAGGGGAAAAGAATAAGGTCCTAGGCTTGTCGGCGGGTGGGAGTGAGAGCAAAAAGCCAGCAAGATGACTGACGCGGGCATTGTGCGGTGAGACCTCCCCAGGCCGGTGGACAGAACTGGGCTGGAGCCCTAGTGGTCTAGAAAGCAAACACCTGTGTCCCAGGTCGTCCTGACCCCCGGTCCCGGGCCAGCCAGTCTGGGCACCTGGCTGAGCCGGTGATTAGTGTGAGGTGAGCCCGTGCTGCAGCATAAGAAAGCGCTTTTCCTTCTCTGTCTTGGAGGCGGTCTTAACCTTTTTTTTTTTTTTTTCTGAGTGAAAACTAGAATGTGGCCCAAACTTCAGAGCAGTGATGTTCCACCAGGATGATGCACTTTCTCCTCTTCCACTCCCCAAAATCAGTCATGTCTGGGATCACACGGAGTTGTTGAAATCAGAGGGACATGCTGTCGGTATCTAGTGGGTGGAGACCAGGCGTGTTGCTAAACGTCCTGTAATGCACAGTGCGGGAGCCCTGCTAGGAATGGGTAGTGCCGAGGTTGAGAAATACCACATAAAAAAAGAAAGGCAGCCCAGCCCACATGAAAGCCCAGAAGACTACATTTCCAACTTACTGGCAAAATGTCAGACTGGAGGCATGGCTCAAGTGCAGAACGCCAACCCAGCAAGCAATCTGAGAATGTGAGGTCCTGCGTCCAGTCCCTGTCACTGGCACACAAAAAAGGATGGGGCAGCAAGAAAGTTCTCAGCGCAATCTCACGGAAAAGAAGGGACCATAAAAGTACCGATTGTTTTGTGTCTTATTTCCCCATTGAGATGTCAGTTTAGAAACCCTTGTCTCTGAATCCAGCATCCATCAGAATATTAAGAATGCTAAAGTGTTTTGGGGTGTGTGTGTGTGTGTGTGTTTTTAAATACTGAGCAGTGTTTTGTGCATTTTGGAAAAGTCAAGAGTTGTCATAAGAAAGGACAGAATCATACTTGAAATGATCCCAAGTAGATATTGAAAACTAATTTCATTAAAGTCAGTGGTGCAAACAGCCAGGTGGTTTTTAATCCAGGGTCAAAGCTGGGGATGAGGAGGGGGAGTGGAGGGAGAAAATAAGTAGCAGAGCTTCTTTCTAGCTTTGCTGGGTATGTTGTGCAGTTGTGTTTTCTCGTTTTGTCTTGTCTTGTTTGTACTTGTCCTCAGGGTATAGAGGGACTTAGTGGTCCAGTGGTGGGTGGCATCCTTACGTACCTGGGACACTGACTGCACTCTTGAATTTCTCCATGTTAAGTGCTTTGAGCGAATGTGAAGAGGGAAATGTGTGTTGTGATTGCTCAGGCAGGTGGTGACCTAGCCAGAGGGTGGGTGGCTGTGGGGTCACCCAGTCCTAAGGAGGGAGGTGCTGATACCCTAAAAAGAAGCAGAGGGTCAGCAAAGGCAGAGGAGCTGAACATGGAAAGTTTTCTAGTCTTTCTCCTTTGTTACTTTCTTCTTTTTCTCTCTGCTTTCTCCTTTTCCTTCTTAACTCCTCCACTTCTTCATTCTCCTCCTGCTCCTTCTCAATGACTGAACCAAAGAACTTGATTTTCACGAGCTACTTCACAGACATACATCAGAGAAGAAAACAGCTTGTCAGAAACAGAGGAGCATGGAGGCATTTAAATTAAATATTACAGTTGCCTGCAGGTTACTTACTGACAAGAAAACGGTTTTGCCTAAGCAGCATGTGTGCTTTGTCAGGACTAGGAAAAAAAAAAACTTAGCACTCTAGTTACATAAGACCGTATTGATAGCACCACATTAATTTTAATCATTTAATTAAAAATGCTCATCTAGCCAGGCAGCTGTAATCCTAGCTACTCAGGAGACTAAAATCTAAGGATCAGGGTTCCAAGCCAACATGAGTAGTAAAGTCTGTGAGACTTTATCTCAAGTGAATCACCAAAAAGCCAGAAGTGGAACTGTGGCTCAAGTAATCAAGTGCTAGCCTTGAGCAAAAATGCTCAGGGACAGCACCCAGGCCCTGAGTTCAGGCCTCAGGAACTGCACTAAAAAAAAAATTTTTTTTAATGATTATCTATCTTTTTTTAAAATTTTTTTTAACTGCTACTCACTAAATGACACCTGCATTTGGTTTCTGTCTGTGTCATGCTTTGCGAGTTCAGCACGGCTTTGGTGACAAGTCTACTTAGAGCAGTTAAGATTTCTCCCTTCCAACTGCTAGCCGTCCTATAGATCAACATTTGCTTGACAGGGTTCCTTGTCCATCTGTCTCCAGTCTCAGTCTGTCTGTCTGTCTCTGTCTGTTTTTATCTCTGCTCATCTATTATCTATTTGGAATAGCTTCCTAGGTCTGCTGTACAAAATGCTCACTAACTTGGTAGCTTCTGGTTTTAGAGGTCAGAAATCTAGCCCAGGCATTGGTCAGGCTAAGTCCAACCATGGTTCTGGTGGTGACCTTCTTTGCTTCTCTTCCTACTGCTTCTTCCTACCAGTCAATCTTGGTTTGTTGCTGTGAAAATCTGGTGTCTGTCTTCGCCTGACCTTTTTATGGTACTTAGGCCTTGTCTCTTTAGAATAGGCCTTGTCTCTTTAGAAGGATGCTCATCATTGAATTTAAGGTCCACCTGGATAATCCAGGATAGTTTTGTCAGGATGTCCCTAACTTAATCACATCTTCCAAACCCTGCTTTTTCCAAAGAAAGTCTCACTCCTGGGTTCCTTGGGTGAGGCTGTAGGCCTCCCATTAGGACCGCTGTCTGCCTCTCACCTATCCATGATAAACTGTGGGTCGTCTTTGGTTTTTGCTTTCTAGGATGCTATGTACACAGGTGTTAGGTTGTGTTTATGGACCTTAAAGTGGCCCACATTGATGTCTGGGTAAATTGTCATACCTTGCTTCCTGAGTGCGAGGAGCACATGGGAATAGGTGTTTGAGACTTCAAAGCAAATGCATGTTTCAGATGGAAGCTGAAACACCTTGGAGCCACCCGAAAGGGAGAGCAGTCTAAGTGGCACTGTGATTACAACTCTCAAGACTGCGGCTTTTCTAGGTGTTTATCCTTGGGCTGTAATTACCTTCCCAGGTGGTCTCCAGGATTGCTAGTTTCCAGCAAGGTATAAATGTCTCCATTCACTTGACCCTGTTTGACCTTTATTAATTTAGGTGCCTCCAAAGAGAGAGAGACACACACACAATTGATATGAGCTTCAAAAAACAAAAAAGGAAACCATAATATACTTGCCCTTCCTTGAGTCACTAAAATTGAGCAAATCAGGATCGATGTTGACCATGTATGTTCTCTGGTAGTGCCAGAGGCGGCAGGCAGAGGGGAAGGCTGCCTGGGGTGATCACAAGACCCTGGGAAAAAATTCTAAGGTCTAAACGGAGACCAAAGCCTGTCCCAGCTGTCCCGTGTAACCTTAGACAAGTTACTCAATTGCTTGGGTTGAAGAAGTGGAAACTTCTTCAAGTAAAAAACTCCAGATGGGTTGAATGGTTGGAGTGATGGAGTCCAGCAGGTTGGAGGGTGTCATGGTACCTGCTCATCACACTGCTACCAAATGCAGCCCTGCGCTTTTCTTGGTGACTGACAGCTCGTCTTGCTGGAAATGTTTCTCAGTGATAAGGTTCTGGGTTCCATGCCCGGCACCACCAAAAGAAAGAAAGAAATACAGGAGTAGGGCTTGGTTCTGAATTAAGACAAAGCAGTGTTCGTTTGTTTGTTTTCTCTCTCTCCCCTTTTCCCCCTTGCAGCAGAGAGCTACAGGGACACGCAGACGGTGACAGTTAAAGAAGAGCCCATGGAGGTGGACCTGCAGGACTCGCAGGTCTCCATCTCACCCAGCCGGAACGTTGGCTACAGCTCCTTAATCGGGCGAGAGAAGACTGAGCCCTTGCAGAAGATGCCAGAAGGCAGGGTAGCCCCAGAGAAAAGCCTCTTCAGCCAGGACATCTCTGTGAAGATGGCCTCCGAGCTTCTCTTTCAACTGTCAGGTAGGTTCAGGTGCACAAAATTCTCTGAATCACTGAGAGGAGAGTTGTTCTAACAACTAGGAAGGCCAACCAACTACATGGTAGACCGTGTGAGAAGGAAAGCAGTTTTGTCACTTTAACATGCCTACTGCCACCCAGATTTAATGATTAATAAAGTGTCGCATGAAGAATTTCTGCCAAACTTTCTTCAATATAAAGCTGAATTACTTGGAATTACAGCTCCAGAGTTCTGTACAAATGATCCTTGGCTCATATATTGTGCCCAGTTTGTATAGCACGTCAGAGTTCTAGTTCCAAAAGGTGTTCAGGTAGGCTAAACGCTTGCCTTGGATTTGTTTCCGAAGTGACCTTCTGATCACCTTTCTAATGTGCCGAACGAAGGTAAGCTTCTGTCTACTCAGTCATGACCAAATGACTGTGAATTCCCAATCGATGTGGTTGGAATTAGTGGGATTTTATGGTCTCCTGCCAAAACAAAAAAATGAAATAGTAGGAATGTTTTCAGCTATAGCTTATGAGAATATTTTCTATAAACCCACTTTTTCTACTTTGGACAAAGTGCAGTGCTTACCAGTCCAGTGAAATGTCTTATGTGTACAGATTATCTCTTTGTCAGCTCTTTTGCGATCCATATCCCTTGGCCCTAATGAGTTTGATATGGTGTTATATTTTTTGATATGACAAAGTAAGGAGTTGGGATGGGGGAGAGATTTCCTATTCTTTTTGCAGGAAATGAGAGTTGTAAAAGTTGAAGACTCCTATGGTGTTATTCGTTGTTTGGGATTGAAATTGATTAACAAGATTCAGATCTTGATAGAAACATAGACAACAGTGGCCTACAGGTTGAAGTTCACCAGCAACAAACTCAATAGAGTCTGTTACTCTAACTCAACTCTCTTGAGTTTGTTACTGATGTTTGATAAACTGTCTTGTTGTGAGTCACACAGGACGTAGCAAGTACTTTGCCCTATATTAGGGTTCAATTATTTGTCCCTATCCTCCCTCCCAAACATAATACCAGGAAGGAAGAAAGAAGCTCATCAGTCAGGAAGGTTCGGGCACAGTCCACTGCGTCACTGGCCTGGCAATACCTTGTCCCCTCTCCATCACTGAAATGGATGGCTTCAAGGTTCCCAAAGACTGTATTCAAGCAGATGGATACATGATTTTTCCCCGCTAAAGACCAAGGGCTTTCAAAACAGTATACTTTGATAATGAGTGCAGAGTTAAAGTTAGTCATGGTGAGCCTCACCTGGTTCTCTGCAGCAAGTCTGTCCCCAGCCGTGCCTTATCCCAGCCTCCTGTGCACAAAGCACCAGGTGTGAGCGTGCTCCTCCCGGCCCTGCACTGCCGGCTGACCTCACACAAGCCACTCAGCTCCAGTCCCCCGCTCTCTGCACGACCAGCACCTGGTGGTCCACATCACAAGTGGATGATGACACATAAGCACGTACGCTGCAGTCCAGACTGGAATTTTGGAGCCAGCGAGGACAGATGTTAGAAACCTTAATTTGAATACCCCCACCCCACGCCCACGACATCAGCTTTTCACGTGTCCTGCCATTGAAATCTGAAGCCGTGGAAGAGCAGCCAGACTTTCTCTCCATACTCAAACCTTGGGGTCTTTGGGGGAATCCTCTCAGTTGAACCGGATTGGGAAGGCCACAGTGCAACTTCATTAGCTAGTTCCTTTTGATTGGCTGTCAGTGAAACATTTTTTTTATTGTCAAGGTGATGTACAGAGGGGTTACACTTATGTAAGGTAATAAGTACATTTCTTGTCAAACTTGTTACCCCTTCCCTGGTTTGTGAATAGTCCATATGCGCTTTCTGTGCATCTCATCCAATAAGAGCTGGGGGATTTAGATGTTTAAAAAAGAAACCCAAAAAACTGGGCACTGATGGCTCACACTTGTAATCCTAGCTACTCAGGAGGCTGAGATCTGAAGGCTACAGTTCAAAGCCAGCCCACAAAGGAAAGTTAAAGAAAAAGTTAAAGTTAAAGAAGAGATAAAGTTGGGGGGGTTCTGCTTCAGCTAAACATGGATGTTCTATTCTTTTTCCTTACAGAAAAAGTGAGCAAAGAGCACAATCACACGAAGGAGAACACTATCCGGACGAGCACCAGGTAGGCACCTGTGGGGAGGGGCAGGGGACCCCCTCTGGGTCACCAGCCTGGAATGACATTGTTCCCCAAACTGCTTCTCCACTCTGTGTTCAAAGGAGCCATTCATGACCTTCCTCTCGTCTCTTCGCTCAGCTTTTGGGCAGTAGTGGAGTGGTGTTGTCTCAACTCTGACCTTGTGTTTGCCAAGCAGGTGCTGGTCACCTAAGCCACTCCCTGGTCCCCACCTCTTTTGCGTTATCTTTCAGATCAGGTCTCTCTATTCCTTCTGAGACTTGCCTTAGACTGTTTCTCCCATCTCCTCCTCCTGCATAGCTGAGATTACAGACCTGTGCCACCATGCCCAGCCCTTTCCCTCCTATTTTCTACCAGAACCTCTCAGTTGATGGAAATAATGCAGAAACCAAGGACAAAAGTGGAAAAGACTGTTAATATTTATTAAGCATGGATGGTATACTTTGCTGGGGAATTTTTTTTAATTTAGAACATTTACTCATTATTTTAATTTCAAAATGCTAAAAACTGTTATACAAGTCAGGCAAGGGTACGTTTCCTTTTGGGCAATGTCACCCCATCCTCGGCTGTCTCCCCGTTTTTCCCTCCTTCCCACTCAACTTCAACCTAGCATCCAGTGAGTACCATTGCCGCATGAGTTCACCCTTTGTCTCTTCATGTCTGCAGCTCCCCTTACACTCCTCAGCACGCATGACAGAAAGAAAAGGGGGATTTAAAATATATATACCATTATTTCTTCAAGTAATTTTGTGAAATAGATGTTATTATAATCTTTGCAAACATTTCTCTTTCTGTTTTTGGTGCTGGGAACTGAACCCACAGCCTTGTGCGTGCTGAACATACATTCTACACTGAGCTATAACCTCAACCATCAGAGGTTTCTTGAGTTGAGAGTTCAAATTGAGATTGGGGACTGGGTTTGTAGCTGTGGAATCCTCCACTGTTGTCCCAAGAATCTCAAAAGCAGAAGAATGACATTGCTTTCTTTTAAATTGCAAGGTCTGGGCACAGTGGCACATCCTTGTAGTCCCAGATATTCAGCAGATGGAAGAGGTGGGGTTGACACTGCGATAGGATTGCATAAATAAGCCCAGGAGTTTAGGCCAAGCTGCACAATATAGCACAATCTTCTCTCAAGAAGATGGGAAAGGAGCCGGATGCAGAGGCGTACACCTGTAACCCAAGCTACTTGGGAGGGTGGAGATCAGAAGGATTACAATTTAAGGCCAGCCCAGTCAAAAAGCTAGTGAGATGCCATCTCAACAAAGAAAGCGCAATGTGGTGGCAAGAGCCTCTTATCCCAGCTCCGTGCTTAAACCGCAGGATTGCAGCCCAGGCTGGCCTGGCAAAAAAGAACAATTAAAATTAAAAAAGGAAGGGGGGGAGACAGAGAGAAAGAAGAAATAAAAGAGGGAAGGAGAGAAAGGGGAAGCAGAGGGAAGCACATCACTCCTGTGTGCGAGGTCAGAGGGTGGGCTCCTCATCCGCCTGCCTTTAGGAAGAGAAGGAGCCTTAAAGGCCATACACAAGGGACCTGCGCTAGGAAAGAGCTTCCAAGGAGGAAGCGAGCATGGAGACACCTCCCCCCACCTGTGCAGGACTGCCCGCCTCATTCCACCTTGGGGACTCACACACAGGAGCAGGGGATGGACGAAGGTCTAGGAGCAGGGAGAACAGGGCCTGAGCTTCTAAAGCGTCTTTAAGATGAAGGACTTTGCTTTCCTAAGCAGAGAGATTCTTTCTGATGGAGCGGTGGTTGGCTCTGGTTTTGTCATTTTTACTCTGTGTGTGTGTGTGTGTGTGTGTGTGTGTGTGTGTGTGTGTGTGTGTGTGTGTGTGTGTGTGAGTCACTGGGAACAAAACTCAGGGCCTTATGCTTT